ACGGTGGGGCAGCTGATGCTGCTTTAATGCTTCTTGATTTGAGGAAGGTGGCAGATGATGCTCATGCCGGTAATGGACTGTGAGGCAACTCATGCTGATGATGCTCGTTGGTGTGGGCTTGTAATGGAATGTGGGGAAACTCATGCTGATGATGCTCGCTGGTCTCGGGCTGGTGGTGGAAGGTGGGGCAGCTGATGCTGATGATGCTCGCTGGTCTCCGGCTGGTTGTGGAAGGGTGGACAGCTGATGCTGATGATGCTCGCGTCTTGTGGTGGACGGTGGGGCAGCTGATGCTGCTTTATGCTTCTTGATTTGAGGAAGGTGGCGGATGATGCTCATTCTGGTAATGGAATGTGGGGCAACTCATGCTGATGATGCTCGTTGGTGTGGGCGTGCAATGGAATGTGGGGAAACTCATGCTGATGATGCTCGCGGGTCTCGGGCTTGTGGCGGAAGGTGGGGCAGCTGATGTTGATGATGCTCGCTGGTCTCGGGCTGGTGGTTGGAAGGTGGGGCAGCTGATGCTGATGATGCTCGCTGTTCTCGGGCCGGTGGTGGAAGGTGGGGGAGCTGATACCGATGATGCTCGCTGGTCTCGGTTTCGTGGTGGAACGTGGGGCAGCTGATGCTGACGATACTTTCTGGTCTCTGGTTCGTCGTGGCAAGTGGCACAGCTGATGCTGATGATGCTCGCTGGTCTCGGTCTTGTAGTGGTCGGTGGGGCAGATCATGCTGATGATGCTCGCTCGTCTCAGGTGCGTGGTGGAACGTGCGGCAAGTGATGCTTGTGATGCTTGCTACCGAAATCCTTCACCTCAAAACCACCCAATGCCAGAAGGGCCCTAGAACCCTAAACCCCAAACCCTAGACACACAACCCCCAAGCCCGAAACCGCAACAGACCTCAAATCCTCGAAGCCCTAGGCCCTGCCAAACCACCATTGAAATTTTGGTAACACACTACAAACCCATGCACGTTTAGGGTTTAGGGCTTAGGGTGCACAACCCTTGGCAAACCCATTCAAGACCCTAAACCCTAAACCCTACACCCTAAACCCTACACCAACACAGGCCCCTTAGATATGCTATAGAAGATGTCCAGACACACCCTCAAGTTGAGCCTTGTCCCCGAAACCCTGGGCCCTTTACCTGCAAGCATATTAGGGTTTAGGGTTTAGGGTTTAAGCCCCTCAGACTCGTAGACTCATAGTAGAACAGCCTGTTCAACAACACCTCTGCTTGAAATCATAGCTGTTTTCAACCTTCCGGCAGAGCTCTAGCAAAGAAACTTCGTTTCACAAGAACCCTAAACCCTAAACTCAACACCTTTACGTAAACCACTCAAGAAAAATTCCTACAAGAACCCTAAACCCTAAACTCAAAACCTTTAAGCCATGCAAAAAAAAGCCTTGCTCTACAACCATGGACGGTTCTGGCAGTCCTTGCGTCCGATAACGGTTTGGCCGTCGCTCCGAATCGCATAGGCATCCTAGGTTTGGGGCTGATGGGGTTCAGGGTTTGGGGTTTAGGGTTTAGGGTTTAGGGGCTCATGGGGTTCAGGGTTTAGGGTTTGGGGTTGAGGGTTTAGGGTCGGAGCGCTATGTTTCCGGATTAGGGCTTGGGGTTTAGGGTTTAGGGTCGGAGTGCTAGGTTTCCGGATGAGGGTTGACGGGTCTGGGAATTGAGGGCTTAGAGTCCAGGGTCCTACAAGCGCAATAGGGCATGAGGATTCTGGCGATGGTTCTGGGTCTTGGGACGTTGAATCTCACGATGGCTTTGGCTTCGGGCTATAGGGTCTAGGCTTCTTGCAGGTCGTGGTGTTGAGGGCTGTCCGGTCTTGAAAATTTCGGGGTCAAGGCTTGCGGCTAACATTTCCAGAACCGGTACTGCGGTGGTTCTGTGGCGCTGCTGCTTAACTTCAGGGCTTTGAGCTTAGGGTTTCATTTGCAGGGTTTTGGAGATCTAGGGAACCCTATACCATCCTAAACAGCCTAAACACTGCAGGCCCTTAAGGGCTCTTCAATAAGCAGGGTTTAGGATTTAGAGTTTAGGGTTTAGGGTTTAGGGTTTAGAGTTTAGAGTTTAGGGTTTAGGGCTTAGGGTTGAAGGTTTAGAGTTTAGGGTTTACGGTAAACCTTAAACCCCGAACCCTGAGTCTTTCTGGGGCACCCCACCGCGGCACTCCGCAAAAGCAGCCGGCGGGGCCTCTCCTCTGATCGCAGGGGCGGCTTTCTGTACGGTTTAGGGTTTAAGGATTAGGGGATTAGGGTTTAGGGTTTAGGGGTGCTTCGCAGGGGATTATAAGGTCTCGAAAAGGTTTTGTTGGGTTTGACAAGGTTAGACATGGGTCTCGTGTGGATTTTGATTCTACTGGCTTTGGGAATGAGGGGTTAGGGTGTGAGATGGTTCAGGGTTCATGGGTGAAGGGTTGGAAGTTTCAGGGTTTCGGGCTTGGGGAGTTGGGGTCTCAAGGGCTTTTAGGCTTGAGGTGTTTGGTCTGTTGTTCAGGGTTTGGTGATCGAAGTTCAGCGCTGAAGTGAGTATGGCTGGACAAGATTTGAAACCCTAAACCCTGACTTCATGACTAGACCCTCTGAACAGTCATCTCGATCAGCAGCCTATATTGTGCAGCCTGCAGTACGTAGATAGTAACAGTTTGTGTTGTGACTGTTGTGTACACCAGCCTCGTAAGCGACATGTTTCGCCCCCGCTGTGCTCTTTGGCTTGAGCTGGATGCGGTCGCCGCCGGGCTAGTGCCGCCGGCCGAGGAGTCAGAGGCTCAGCGTTTTGCCACTCTCCTTGTGGTTGTTGCGGATCTTCGCCATGAGCTCCTGGACCAGAGCAGCATGAAGTTTGTCTTTATCTCCAGGTCGCTTCGCCCACGCTTGAACCGCTTTGCTCTGCTTGCCTTCGATGCTTTTGGCCCAGCTGGGTAGATCGTCGAAGAGTGCCAGGTCTTTCAGCAAGGTCATGGAGCACAGGTACAGGACGGCCGAGCTGGACGCCAAGCGACCCAAGTGCTTCGCGAGATCCTCGGTCCCACCGGTCGCGAAGGTTACGAAAGTTTTGACGGCCTTCTTGACGTCGCTCTCGTCGGGTTGCTTGGACTTGCCCACGTTGAGGACCGAAATTGCCTTCGCCACCTCGGAACCCTGCGAGCTCGCAAGAAAGTTTTTGAGCTGTACCAGGCCGGTCTTGCTGAGGCGCGCTTTCACGTCGTCGGGCCAGTCGCCGGCAAAGTGCCGTGCCAGGAGCTTGAAGCCGGCGTCCACACTGGAGGCATCCGGCGTCAGGCCCATGCCCGGGCGCCGGAACAGCTCCTCATTCCCCGCATCCCGGGATGCGCGGATGCTCTCCAATTGCAAGAACTTCTTCTCATCCTGCTCCGGCCCGACGTGGAAAGGGACGCCATCCTCGCTGCAATAGGACGCCAGCTTCGCCTTGCCCCAGTACTCCCACTTCGGCACGAAGTTGCGGGGCTTCTTGGACTCCTCCTTCTTCGAGGCACGCTGCGTGGTCTTTCCCATGACGGACCGATGTACGCTAGAACGGGCGAGCTTGGAAGCACATCAACGGCTGCGGGATTGCAGGCAGAAGTTAGCGTCAAGCAAGAGTCGAGCAACTGCTGTAGACAGTCCGACAGTGCAGGCTGCGGGCGTGCCCGGAAGGTTTTCAGCGAGCGCTGCACGTCGGACCGCTGAACAAGTAATACGGCAGACAACTCCGGTCTCATTTTGTCACAATGGCGGGCAGTCACGTGCGTTCTGAGGTGAAACTTCAACTACATCTGCAGAGCGAATGGCTTCGATGTCTAATTGGCGGGGCTCCTCCTCCTGCAAGGCCGCTTCAGGGGAGGCTCCTGGTCCTCGACGGAGGGAGTGGAGTGGAGCTTGACCCAGTTCACTGCCCCTCGTCGGTGATTGTACGGTATCGGCTCATCGTATCGCCGTGGCGAACTTAGCACCCAAGCCCACCATTGTTTGTACCCGAAGGCTCGGACGTCGGTGATAGAAAGGCCGTGTTTCGGAAGGTTCTGCGGGAGCATCATGAAGTCCTCGTGGCGGCCATTCGCGACAAGGGTCCCGCCTGCGTCCAAGCAGCCGACACGAAGGCAATCCACAATGTCGACTTCGCCATATAGTAGCCCCGTGCCCGAACACGCCAACGCGATCCGATCTCGCCGCGAACAGCGATAGCCTCGCATTTCCCAACGTCTGGGAGGGCAGCAGCGGCGGCATTGGCTGCAGTGGCCATGCGTTCGCTCGCGACCGCCTGGAAGGGCATTCCTGGCGCCAGGAACGGGAAGGATCGCTGGCTGGCTCCCCGAAAACAGCTAGGGCCGCGGCACGTGAAACGTGTCATGCTGTCGNNNNGGCTCCCTGCAGGCACTTCATGCACCCACCTCCTTAAGGCAACTACAGGAAACTGCTAAATACGAGCCGGTTCATGACATGCCAGGAAAGGCTAAACCCTACAGAACATGACGCCCTGGGCGTCACACACTCAAACCCTAAACCCTAAACCCTTAAGCTCCATGGTCATGGTCCTGTCCGAGGCCACGGGTCTCGGCTTTAAGCTACGTCCATGCTCCCGGGCTGGAGCTCGGTCTCCGCCTGAGACAGGATGGGCCACGCCACAAGGACCCTGGTTTAGGGTTTAGGGTTACCGCTTAGGGTTTAGGGCCTAGACCCAGAGAAAGTTGTCGAACTCGAAGATGACGACGAATCGCTGGCAAGGCGCTCTGCCGGGATGTTACGCACAGCGACAGTCTAAGATGTTCATATCAGAACCCTGAAGACCACGAAGTGGTCTTCGGAGCTGCACGGAGCCAGCGATAAACAATCCGCAAGCCATTCCTGGAATGGCAATACCCAGCAGTCAAATCCTGATTCTATTTCTCCACTTTCTTGCCTCAGGAAGGAGCGAAAGTACTGGCAACTCTGGAAGCTAACATGACGGCTGTTGACCCCTGGCTCCAAAAAAGCCCCACATCAAACCACCTAGACGGTCCCCGTCAACTGCTGTTGAATCATATGCAAGTACGCCCATGAAAAAAAACTCACATTCCTAAGGAGACACATTCCTAAGGAGACCTGTATACACAGCTACCAAGAATAGTATAACATAGACCAAAAAAACCCTAAAACCCTAAACCACTTTTCCCTCATAAAGCTCTTCCCTCAAGCCGTCTAAACAATCCTAAACCCTAAAGCCCTTCAAGGGGTCCCTCAACCCGTCCAAACAGCCCCTAAACCCTAAACCCTATCTTCACATCGCCTCAGGCTCCAAGGCATCAAGTCCTAGGCCTTTCGCCTTAGAAAGCCCCAAAAACCAAAATCCGAAGCCGGAGGCCTTGGGGGTTGGGGTTATCCCTAAACCCCAAAGGTCAAAATCCGAAGTCGGAGGCCTTAGGGGGTTGGGGGTTAGGGTTTAGGGTTTAGGGGAAGCCTCAAGGAGTTGGGGGTTGGGGGGTTAGGGCTTAAGGGCTTCGAGGTTTAGGGGCTTGGGGTCCTGAGGCCGTGGCCCTTGGCCCTTGGCCCTCACACCCTAAATCCTAAGTCCTGAATCTTGAACCTTATAGAGACCCTGAACCCAAACCGGTTTAGGGTCTAGGGTTTAGGGTTTAGGGATTAAAGGTGTAGGGATTAAAGGTTTAGGGTTCAGGGTTTGGGGTTTAGGGATTAGGGTTAAGGGTTAAGGGTTTAGAGTTTAGGGTTCTGAATCCTAAAGTCCGTCTGGATGTCCTTCGTGGAGGTCCCGTCGTCTGCTTCTGCAGCCATGGCTGTGTCACTTCTGTGTCGCTCTGAACTCGTCGCTATATTCATAGCTTGCGGGTTTAGTAACTCAGTGGGATCAGAACTCAAGGTTTAGCATTTGAGGCTTAAGGGCTTCAGGTTATCGGTTTCGGGTTTCTTCAGTACGCCTCGGACGACCCACAGACGCCTGTCCCTGATCGACCCTGTGCTGAAAACACCACACCACCAAAAAAAAATGAACTCCTGACTCCTAGCCCTAAGCCCTATCTGTGCTGACGACCAAAGCCAAACCAACGAAAAGAGGGATCTAAAAGAATTATGCCCTAAACCCTAAAATACCACCTGAGAGCCCAAACCCTGAAGCCCTAAACCCTACTACCCCTTACCTCCTGAATCCTAAAACCCAACCCTTAACCCTGAAGCCACTGAAGCCCCAAAGCCCTAAACCCTAAACCCTGAAGCCACTGAAGCCACTGAAGCCCCAAAGCCCTAGGGCCTAAGAGCATGCAGCCTATCTCTGCTAGAATCGAAGATCTGGGCTGAGCCGAGAGCAAGCGAAAACCGCTCAGGGCCGTTCAATATATAGATTTGGGGCTTCTAGGATTTAGGGTTTTTTGCTTTTAAGATTTAAGGTTTAAGAATTTAGGGTTTTGGGATTTAAGGCTTGGGGTTGAGGGCTTGGGAGGATTGTTGAAACCTGGGGTATGCCAGAGAAGAATAAGACCAGGACTTCAAGGCGGCAGTTGGGGCATCTCTTAACACAAACTGTCTTTAACTTTAGGGTCTACGATACCTAAATATGCAACCTCCATGAAAACTCCCTAAACCCTAAACCCTAAATATGCAAACCTCCATGAAACCTCCAAACCCGAAATCCGAAAGTTCTAACCACCAAAAACCGAACCCCGAGCCTCCAAGGCGAGCCTAGACGACATTAGACACGAAAGCCGAGCCCCCCCCAAACCGAAACTAGGGTTCAGGGTTTAGGGTTGAGGGTTTTGGGTCTTGGGTGTGGGGTTTACGGTTTATAGGGCTTATAAATCTGAATCGTACAGCCTTTTTGGGAAGCCTACTACCTAAACCCTACCGTAACAACGTGCCGGTTCTGTATAGTTGTCTGAATGATTGCACAACTAGCCAAGGATGAATGAAGCCATTGCTTGCCCGTTGTTGACTTGGCTCACTGCATATTTTTCAAACTGATAGCAGCCGTTTTCACCTGACCAAGTCATCAAGAATGCTTTTGGCTCCGGCATCTTCCATGTCAAACAGCGCTGTTCCTTTACAAGGCTCAAAATGGAGGACGTTACAGGGCGCAAGGTTGGTAGTTGGTTTTGCGGCGGCCACCCTTGGTTGAGTTCGGCCTCTTGCCATGGAATGAGTGCGAAGGAATATAAAGAACGAATGCAAGTGGGAATGAAAGTGAAGAAAGGGAGGAAGTCGACAGAGGGTTTGGCTTCACACTCACTAGAAGGTCCAGCAACGGAAGCGCCATTGGTGAATTGCCAGGAATTGCATCTGTCTGACACACGTTTGCCTGAGCCAGCATCAAAGACTTCCGCAAACAGCTGTCGCACGGAGTCTAGCGGCATCGCAAAATATAGCAACTCGACAGCATGCTTGCCAACTGCGCCATTTTTCCATTTTCAAATTGTCAACTAGTAACTTCGTTTGGGCAACGCTGTCTTCTTCACGGAGAACTCAAGCGACCTGATCCCAAAGTCGGTCGCTACTCAAACTCTTGTCGCATTGAGCAAGGACAGGGAGATGTTTTGCGCAGCATGATCTGCTGCGTTCTCAGGTGAGAGGCACCTTGGTCTCCGCTTCGCCCTATTGCATTAGCACGTCATCGATGAGCTCCTTCAATTCCGTCCGAATGGGGGCATCTTCAACCCGAAACCAGTGGATTCGAGGTGGAGCATGAAAGCCAGGCGAGCCCCAATGCCGTAGGCCCTTGACGCCGTTACTTAAACCCTAGAACCTAAAGCACTAGAAACCTAAACCTCAATGGTCAGTGGTTCAAAGTGCCCTAACCCCTGAACCCACAAGCCCCGCAGCCCCCAAACCTCTAAACCACTCCCTCAAACCCCAAACCCTAAAAACCCCGAGCCCTAAATCCTCAAACCCTTAAACCTTAATTAACACTAAACCCTAATGAAACCCAAAACCCTGAGACTCTAAACCCTGAAAGCGTTACCACTCCAGCTCGCAAAAAACAGCGGCCTTTGACATGCCAGCTACGATCGGCGTCACGTGCGCGAGGCCCTTCGGAAGGGCGTTCATCACCGTGCTTACGATTTCAGGTTTATAGGCTCAAAGTTTAGGGTTTAAGGCGTGGGGCTCCCGGCTGAGGACTTTGGGTTGAACTCTAGGGTGTAGAGGTTGGGGGGTTAAGGGTTTAGGCTTCAGGGTAGTAGCTTTATAGGATGTTGGGTTTAGGAAGTCGCAGGATCACTAGTACCTGGGACATAAGCTAAGTCGGATGACAGGCAATTTGGCTTGCTGTACCCTGACCCTAAACTCCTAAAGCCTCTAGCCTGCGTACAAAGTCCTCGAATCCTTGCTGTAGGATTTTGGGTACAGGAAGCAGATTTGGCAGTATGACATACAAATTTTGATGTAGTGTGATCCGATAACCCTAAACCCTAAACCCTTGTGCTAGAATGAACGTCAGGAAGTTGCTGAAGTCCTTTGTGCATATGCAATCGGATAGTCTCTTCGTTGTGTTGTGATCCGCTTGCAGTATTCACGCCAGTGTGCTTCCTGCCAAC